ATCCCTAAACCCTAAACCCCAAAAATCCCTAAACCCTAAACCCTAAACATCCCTAAACCCTAAACCCCCAAAATCCCTAAACCCTAAACCCTAAACCTCAACCCGGCTGACTTCCGAAGCCCTCCAAAGCCCCTGGTATGGAGGTCCGAATGCCTTTTCTGATGTGCTAAAGGGTTTAGGGTCTTAGGGGTTTAGGGTTTAGGGTTTAGGGTAAAGAAGCCTTGGCATATTGGATTTATCCCTTGTGAACACCGGATAGAACCCTAAACCCTCAACCCTCCCTAAACCCTAAACCCTGAACACAAAACCCTAAAGAACCGAACGTTTGATAATCAAGGCCTCGAAGCCCCGAAGCCCTAAAGCCAAACCCCCTGAAAAGCCGTAGAGCATCGAAGAATGTGCGGAAGATACGCTGAACCATGCTAAACCCTAAGACACCCTAAATCCCTAAATCCTAAACCCTCATCCCTCACCCCACACCCTCCTATACCCCAAACCCCGAAAACGCATCCTAAACCGAAAGACCTAAATCCTATATTCCCTAAGCCCCAAACCCCTAAACCCCTAAACCTCTAAACCCCAAACCCCAAATCCTAAACCCTATATTTCCCAAAAACCTGAACCCCCCCCCCCCCTAAACCCCTCAACCCTAAACCCTAAACCCTAAACCCCAAACCCCAAACCCTAAACCCTAAACCCTAAACCCTAAACCCCAACCCCTAAACCCCAAAACAACGCCTCAGGCTCTCCGGGATCCTTCGCCTCTGCCATCCACAGCAGCAGAGCAGAGCCACTGGGCCGAGGCTCAGACAGAGCTTTCGGTTGTGGGGTTTGGGGTTTAGGGTTTAGGGTTTCGGTTTGTAGGGGTTTGGGTGGCTAGGTTTAGAGTTTCGGGTTTAGGGTTTGGGGTTTAGGGTTTAGGGCTTCTAGGATTGAGGGTTTCTTTTTCGTGGCTGGGTAGAGTTTTACACTTTTTATGTGCACCTAAACCCAACAAAGAATAGAACTGTATGACTGTTTTAATATCCCGACCATGCACTAGGTTTGGGGGTATTAAGGGTTGAGAGTTTAGGATTCAGGTTTGGGGACAGCGGGCTGTGCAGGATTTAGGGTTAGGGTCATAGGCTTTAGGGTTTCCGCTTTTTGGGGTTCAGGGTCTGTTCGGTTTTAGAGTTTATAGGGGTTCTGGGTAGAGGGCGGTAGTTTTGCTACGACTCCTGGAGCTGCTGCTGGATACTTCTTTCCATTGTCTTGTTTAGGTTGCCGCTAGCATGTAACTGTCAAAAGGCAGCGTCGTCTTTATGACCTGTACGTTTGTACACGTTGTGTGTTTTTTTACAGTGTTGTGATTGGTATTCTTTTCGGTGGTGGTCCTGTAGCTATTGGGAGGCGACGGTTTCGAGTCGGCGGGAGGGAGGATACCGGTGCTGGATGGCTTTGCAGGGACTCAAGGCTAGGCTTCGATCTAGTTGTAGGCTTTCAGAAGCTTTGACCCTGCATGTTGAGGCGAGTAGCGGTTTCAGAAACCCTAATACCCTAAACCCTAAACCCTAAAACCCTAAACCCTAAACCCTAAATCCTAAACCGTTTGGAGTGCTGGGAATAGTCTGCAGGCACCAGTCTTGAACTCAAGAAACCTCGGGGCTCCAAATAGCCCAAGGCAGGTACGATTTATAGACGAAACCCTACCCTAGGGTTTAGGGGTTTAGGGTTTAGGGTTTAGGGGTTTAGGGTTTAGGGTTTAGGGTTTAGGGTTTAAACTCTAAACCCTAAACTAAACCCCAACGTAGGTGCTATATTAGTGGAGAGCACCAAAGGAAACACGGTGAACTCCAGAAAGCTGGACCAGGAATTGGGATGATTAATATAGGCGCCTTAATAATTTAGAATAGGGCTTGGGGGGTATATTAGACTATAACTAGAACAAGGAACCCCCAAAACCCTATTCTAACTATCAAGGCCCCTACATTAGTGCTGGTATTCCCTCTACTTGACTCGACAGGAAGGGCAGGAGGATAGTGATGTTCCATCAGGCTTCTACCACTTTTATTTTAGTTCCTGAACCCTGAAACCCTAAACCCCTAAACCCGAAATAAGCCCGATAGCCACTGCATCAATAGTCAGCCCTAAGCCTACACCATTTAAACCCCGAAAACTGATCCCTGCACCAGGAACCATGAGACCTGAAACTCAAACATCGTGCACCCCGTGCCCTGAACCGGGAACCTCGGTTTACGGTTAGGGCCTAGGGAATCCTAGATCGTGTACCTTAATCCTCAGCCGTGCATGCTGAGCCAAGCAAAAACTCAACTGAAACCCGTGACCCGGGAAGCCTCAGCCCTAATACTGTTGATGATAAAAATCATGCGTTGCCTTAAGGACCCTTTAGACTCTCGGGATTATGGTATATTCCCTATGATGGGTAATGTAGGGCTTATATCATCAACCGTGGCACTTAAACCGTGAGCCCTCGACAGGAGCATCTCTCAGAGCAGAGCACGGAGGTGGGTAGTTTGCCCTTCGGCTTGCTCGGAGCTGTAGCACCACAGTTTGGGTGACCAGATAATGTAGTGGCCGAAATAGTTGCCTATACTGTGTTTTTGGGGGTCCTGGTCAATATAAGATATATATATATATATATATATAGCAGAATATACCCCAAGACCCTGTTCTAATTATTGAGGCCGCTATATTCCTTAGTAGAGCATGTGGGTTTCAGAGATCCGGCCTTTGAGAATTGAAGGTTCTTGCGGCTTAGGTCTTTAGAATTTTAGGGTTTAGGGTTCGGGGTGTCTGATGAGATTCTAAGTTTCAGGGTTTGCGGTTCAGGTTGCAGGGTTTAGGGTTTAATATCGGGGCCTTAATAGTGCTATTTTGGGAGTCCCTTATTGGAACTATAGTATCGTATATACCCCAAAGCCCTATTCAAATAATTAGGGCCCCTACATCAGGCTGCCTAGGTTGAGGTTTGGGCTTCGGGTGCTAAGCTTGCAGGGATTACGGCTTGCCTTCGGCTTCATCATGAGGTCTGGTCGGTACCATCTCAAACCTAGACCCCCGAAGCCCTGACTGGATGGTTGGGCGAAGGGGAAGTTATCCGAGTATTGCTCTGAAGCCTTGAAGGTTCAGGCTTTATAGTGTTGTGGTTGTAGCTAGGGTTGAAGGGCTGAATGGGGTGTAGTAAGAATCCAACTATCATCGTCTATCCATGCTCAGGGTTTAGGATTTACTGCGCATGTACTATTCAGGTGGGGTGGGTCCCAAGCCCGAAACAAAAAAATCCCAAACCCTCAGCCCTTTACCTTTACTTGCATGTTCTCCACCCTCGACCTCGTAGACGTCGTAGACCTCAAACTCTTAGCCCTTTACCTTAGCCTGGAACCCTAGAATCCTAAGCCAAAACCAACCGAAGCCTCAACCCCAAATCCCTGCAACCTCAACACCCTAAACACAAAACCCCCACATTTCAGGACAAAACCTTTTACCTGAAATCCACAACAACCTGGTTCGGTGAAGAAACAGCTTTTTTACAAATCAAAACAACAAGAACGAATCTTTACTTTAAGTGAAAAGTTGGACAGTTCTACTTGACCCCAACCCTGAAGCCGCATTACTAATACGAAACCCCACACCTATACACCCTAAGCCCTAAACCCTGAAGCCTGTAAGCCCTACACCCTAAACCCTATGAACGCTAAAACCCTAAACCCTAAACTTAAACCCAAATTAAGTCCTAGAAACCCTAAACCGTAAACCCAAAGCCCTGAAATTCTGAACCCGGGCTTTCCCAGGCTTTACCTCACTGCCGGGCCCAGCGAGGGCCGCGCTGTGAGGGTGGCGCGCCTCCAAGGCAGCAGCACTTCTTCCGGCTCCGGGTTTTTTTGGGCTTAGGGTTCAGGGTTTAGGGTTTGAATTTCGGCTTCCGGTTTTGGGGTTTAGGGTTCAGGGCTTAGGGTTTGAATTTCGGCTCTGGGTTTTAGGGCTTAGGGTTCAGGGTTTAGGGTTTGAATTTCGGCTCTGGGTTTTAGGGTTTAGGGTTCAGGGTTGAGGGTTTCGGCCTAGGGCTTCAGGGTTTAGGGTTTCGACTGGGTTTTATGAACAAGTAGCAGGTAGTAGGAGTCGTAAAGGCAGCAGAAGCAGCAACAGCGGCCGGAGTAGTAGTAGAAGTAGTAGTAGTAGTAGTAGTAGTAGTAGCAGTAGCAGTAGCAGTAGCAGCAACAGCGGCAGTTTGAGGAGTGGTCGTGGTCGTGCAGAGCCAGTTCGGTGGTTACTTTCCCGAGTGTGGTTGTTATGTTGTGATGGATGCACTTCGGGGCCCAGGGTACCTCTCCGGGTGATGGTCCCAGGTACCCTAAACCCTAAACCCTAAACCCTAACTTGAGAAGGTCAGTGGTCGAACTGTGTGCAGGTCGTTCATAGACTACAACGACCACGACAGCGACCACGACCACTCCCCTGCTACAAGTACAACACACTCTTGTTGTTTCCAGCGCTTGTACGACCATTGAAGCAAGCTTTCACCATAGAAACAGTAACAACATACTGCAAATACATGCGCTTCACCTCTAAATCAGCTGCTGGTACTTACACTAGTAGCATGCTCACAACACTAGGCTCGCCATGTTGAGTTCAAATCTGACGAGTCACAGACGGTCACGGAGCTTGTAATTTACAAGTTCGAATGACTCATGCTGGAAACCTTGACTTGGCTGTAGACATGACGTTGTAGCTGCAACTGAACCCTACGGCTCCATGTGCCCACATAGCATATACTTAGGCCTTAAAGCACCCCTACATAGGAACCCCTTTAAGGCCTAAGCATATACTGTTATATACTCTATGGGTACATGGAGCCTTAGGGAAAGAAATCCATCTTGCATGGACAAGCTGCCTCCATCATACCAGGGTACTGCACACTAAACATCGGAAGGCCACCCCACTAGGGTTTAGGGTTTAGGGAGTTTAGGGTTTAGGGAGTTTAGGGTTTAGGGAGTTTAGGGTTTAGGGTTTAGGGTTTAGGACTCCATCCCGAACGCGGAACCCCAAACCCTGAGCCCTAAACCCTCAACCCTAACCCCTAAACCCTAAGCCCTCAAAAACCTAAAGCCTAAGCCGAGATGGCCATGTGGAGCTCGACTGCGGCCTTCGATTGGGCAGCTGGCAGCTACCACGCAACCCTAAGATTCCAAGTTCTCCCGAATAGTATGTAGGTTCTCCACTAGAAGGGTTACTATGAGGGTTATTATAAGGGTTCTATAAGTAAGGGTTCTATAAGGTTCAGGGTTTAAGGGTCCAAGTGCTCAAATAGTTAGTAGGTACTTTGGCCTTACAGTAGTCTCTCTACAGGTACGTTGGGGGCCAAAGTATATATTGGTTGAGTACATGGACCCTTGGGCAAGACGATGTAGTACGGGGCTTTGTGTTCGAAGTTTGGGTTTGGAGTTCCAGCATTTGCGGTTTAGGTCGAGGGTTTAGGGCATCCGGGGTTTGGACGTATCCGCTTTGGTGAAGTTGCGACCGACTATGTGAGCTTCCTAGCTAGTAGAAGGTTTGATTCTAATCTTCAGTGCAAGTTTTAGCACAACATCCTCCCTCTCGGAAAGTGATTGTTCTGGTTAAGTTCAACCGATGCCATCTGTGCAATGCCGCGAACTTGCACGTCGTCGCTGCTGTCAACAGCGGCATGTCGAGGTGTCTTGATTACCTCAACCTCTCTCTGTTCACGACCACCAGGGTGTAGGGTTTGGGCTTCACTGTATTGGGTTTTGGCCAGATTTGTTGGTTGGAAGCTCGTCTGAAGCCTTCCAGTTTGAGATGCACACGCATGATATCTCAATCTTCAGCTGCTGCATTCTGTGCAGAGCTTGGGGCATCGTAGATCAGATCCCACCCAATGCCGATTTCGCTCGACCTGGGTTTATCGGTGGCTGCAAGTGCGGTAAACGAGAGCCGCTTTTCCGATGCTTTGTTAAGCGACCGTTCGTGAGGCGGCGATTCCCAAGGCAAGTTAGACTTCGAGAAAGAAGCCGGTAAAAGTAACTAGGAATCAGACCTGCTTGCGAAGACTTGGACTTCAACTAACTCTTTTGTCATCTTTCTCGTTCTCGAAATTATATGAAACTTATGAACCATGCCTAATATGTACAGTGCACAGAACTATAGTGTAAACGAAGACAAAATATTCAGACATACATATCATAGTTTACACACGCTTACACACACACACACACACCTATAATACATATAATACAGACATACATATTATTGTATACACACTATATGTATACATACATACATACATACATACATACATACATACATACATACATACATAATATGTACATGGTGCAAGATCAGAGCTGACACTCAGGTGGCTCAGTGCGGCCCCACACAGCGCACGCTTCCCCCTCTCCGGTACGGCACGTGTGCGGCCCGCGCGGTGCCGTCGTGCCGTGGAGGCTGCGAGGCTTATCGAGGTGGGAGCTTTGGATCTATAAGGAACCCGATGGTCCCCACCCCGAAAGGTCCATGTCATATAGTATATACTTTGGCTTTAAGGTAGTCCCTATATAGGTACGTTGGGGACAAGGTATCGACTATTTGGGCACATGGACCCTGTAGGGCTCGGTTTAGGGTTTAGGGCGTCACGTTCTGCCCTATGAGGTATAGCTGAACTCTTTAGACCTTCAGGCGGCTTTTCTTTTAGTACCAAGAGGGTCCAAATATACTACTATTATGGAGTTAGGTCCCCAACACCATAATGAGGATAGTCTTTTGAGACCTAATTCCACAATGGTGGTGTATATGGACCCTATGGGTAATTAACCCCACATACCCGAAACCCCTAAACCCTGAACCCGAAACCCCTAAACCCTAACTTTTAATCCTGAACACTGGTAGTGTATATGGACCCTGTGGGGTGGACCCTTTCCGGACCGATGCTTCTGAGCACCTTGTAGTTCCTTCTTCGAGTTACCTTCCCAAGGCTCCATGTACCCATATGGTATATACTAAGTTACTAAGGCCTTAGAGGGGTTGCTATATATGCACTTTAAGGCCTAAGTATATACTATATGGGTACATGGAGCCTTAGGGCTTGTAGGATCCTCACAGTACAAGTAGTTAAACAAAAACAGGAACTATATAGAGTGGGGACTAGAGGTAGAAGTTTGCCATCGTTGGGTAAAACGAAGGGTGTCGAACTCGGACCCGAGTTTCATCGCGGCAGGCTCCTATTCTCTGTGCTGCAGTAGACTGAAATTTCTTAGGGTTTGGGGGTTTAGGGTTTATAGGGTTTAGGGTTGCAATATTACAATTCCCAAATCTGTTGATATCATTCAGTCATTCAGGCCCCATATTGCTTTGGAGATCGTGACATCTCTAACTGTGATCCGGACACTGAAACCAGAATTGGCACCCTGTAGCACTGTAGCGCCCCTAGACCCGTAAACCCGACCCAAATCTACACCCCTAAACCCTAAACCCTAAAATCGAGCAGGTAGAGTACCGAAGCTCAATAGCATGGAGGCAGGTAGCCGCACAAGGAACTATGAGAGAAACATTTTGTAACCACCACCATCGCCTGAAGTGGAATTGCCTGGCCTATCCCTGAGTTGCCGGTACGCGCCAACACGTCGCCACCAGCGACCTTCCTCACGGGCGTATGGTGCGGGGACGCCGTGCTGCTGGACCCGGTGCTGCCAGCTCGAACGTCATATATTCATTATCATCGCAGGGCTTCTGCGGTTCAGGGGGTTTAAGGGCTTAGATGGTTGAGGGTATCATGTTTAGGTCATTCACGATGCATACGATTATTGCTTGACTTGCAGTGCTGTTCGCATTAACCGGTTCTAGTAGCAGCAGCAGCAGCAGCAGCAGCAGCAGCAGCAGCAGCAGCAGCAGCACACGTGCTGGCGGCAGCTGCAACGGGCATTCTGTCTGACATGCATGTCGGGTCCGCTGAACTAGTTTTAGGGCTTTGGATGTTTGGATAGTGTAGTATGAAGAGCGGGTCTTGAATGTCTACTTGTGATGCGTCGGTTTCTCACGCCCAACAGTGGCAGTAGTAGCAATCGCAGCAATAGCAGCAGTAGTAGTAGTAG